AAAAGGGCTTGTTTACTACTATTTCTGTGCATGTGGACAGTCCTGACCAGTGGTGTCAAACATAAGGGCCGGGGGCTGGAACCAGCCCTTCCAGGGCTCCGATGCGGCCCGCGAGCAGCTAGCGCAAGGGAGCGAACAGGAGACTGCTCAGGGGGGAGTAGGCAGAGCCACTCTGATAGTGGCTTCAGCATGGTGGAACAACCTCATCTGCAGCAGTCAAGCAGCGTGGGAGCGTCTGCCCAGTGCTGCACCGCTGGCTCTCCAGTCCGCCCACGTGGGTTTCCCCCTGCACACACCCCCTCCAGCCCATGGGGCCTTGCAGGGAGGATACAACAACTTGGAGCTTACCAGCTGCTGTCCTTTATACAGTTTATATCTCCGGTACCTGGCGTTATGTTTTATGGCACACACGCCCTGGCCCGACAAAGTGACCTTTATGTCAGATCCGGCCCTCGTAACAAATGAGTTCGACATCTCTGGTCTTGACCATCTCCTGAGATGGGCTCATGCAGGCAAACAAAACATGAATTGGATGATCACACGCATAGTTTGCAACAATTCCTGTGAGCGCATCATCTGGGAAAAGGTTGCCAGAGTTGCTGTGGAGTGTGATTATCAAGCTCAGAAGCCTAGCTTCCTTGTGTAAGTAGACTGAGAGTGTGCACATGTATGCAAAGAAATCTGACTTGGCCCTTTGAGTGCACCGAATGCATGTACGAAAGGTATCCAGTCACTCGTCTGGCTTCTGCCAGTTGACTGTTGACTATTCTTCTACATTGTAGCCTGGTAATGCGTCATTAGGAGGACGAAGATGCTGACCAGTTTAATGTCACACACACAAAACCGGGAACAGTTCAGCTTGGTGGCCTGAATCCAAAAGACTTCCGTGAGAAATCCTGTTCGGCCAGGGGAGCTTGAGAACATAGATCTCTTGATTGGCAGCCTTCTGCTCTTCCAACCAGCCAGCCTCTCCCACCCCGGTGCCACATGGCACCATTGCACACCTCTTTTGGGATCAAGGGGTGTTCCAAATGCTGTCGGCAGTATGACATGCAAGTTCCTTAAAAGAGGAGATCAGTTAGTGCTGTTTTTCCCGCCCATACTCTTGGGCATTGGAAGTACTCCTCTGGAGGCCAGCCACTGAGTGCCAGACTCGCTGTTATGAAACACGTGAGGTTAAGTTTGTGTCTTGCTTCTTGGACAAGTCTCAAGGCATTCCACGGTGGCATCTTTAGTTGTACGGGGAATCTCCTTATTTTTAGATTTGTCTTCTGGAGATCTTGTGTTGGCAGTCCAATTTGAAATGGGCCTAGAGATGTAAAATTTCCGGAAATTTTGAAGGTCGGAAAAAACCCCGTTTTTTCCCCGGATTTTTTCAGGGAAAAACAGAAATTTTCGGAAAAATTGAAAAAAATGCTACACGAGCATTTCTTTTGTCTTTTCTAGATTGAAAGTCATTCTGTTACTTTAGGAACATAAAATATGACTATGGACATTTTTACTTGGCAGACAATTATTACAAACAGAATACCCACCCACATGCAAAAACAAAACTGAAACTTTTTTATTTTCTTCTGACAATCGCACCTCCTAAAGGAAGAAATGCATCTTGTTCTTGCATTGGAGAGTTCAGTTTGTAACCTAGGACTTGCTTGTCCTCAGTGCACAGAAATTAGATCAATCTGATACCATACATATATATATATATATATTAGAGATGATTTGGAAAAT